GTTGCATATAAACCTGAGAAAACACATGCCTTCTTGTCAAATGTTGCAACAGAGAATCCAGTGAAATCGGGAAATTGCCTGTTTATTTATTGAGACTAAGTGGTGTGTAGATTATGCCTCTTAGATGCAGAAAGTATATACATTTTGATCAGAAGGACAAATTCTAATCCACATTATTCTTTATCTGCAGGATTGTTAGTCCTGGCAAGGTTCATGTGGATTGTCTGGCTTTCTACAACAAGAAAACTGAGATCCAGGTAGGATAAGTTATCTGATACCACAAATTAGTAGAAAATCCTGAACCATAATCTGTACCTCCTAATTGCTTCTCATTTCATCACACTTTTGTCTTGCTTTCATTCAGAGAAATTTAGAGAGTAAAACAAAAATTATAGTTCAGATAGTAACTCTTAAATTAAGAAGGTAAGTTTTGTGACATTTTAATCTACGTGAATGAAAAGATATCAGCCAGAGACATTTGTTCCAAGTTCTATGCTTCCTCTAAACAGTATGAACCTTGAAGCTTCATGACTACAGACTTATTGATTTTATGAGATAGACAATTATCTTCAAAGAATTATCTTTTTATCAACCATTAAACAATGATTAAGCATTTATTCTAACTGGAGGTTAATATAGAAAAGAGTGAAGGAAACATTTGAAAAACTATACTCTAAACCAGTTTTATAAAATATTTTCCAACAACACAAATGAGACAGGAAACTCTCACTTGAAAAACATGGATGTGACAAAAATTAATGTAATATTATTAATGTGTACTTTCTATAGGAAAGATGATGAGGGGATAAAATTTAAGATAAAATGCTTAGGCTATAAGAGGCAGAAATGGAAACCTGGAACATACCCTTGCTGTAACAAATGTGTTTTAAAATAATTAGATAAAAACTAAAGTCATATTATATAAAGCCAAGGATTGCCTCAAGTTTCATCCAAAAAATAAGAACACTGACACCTAATTTAGAAGGATCACAAAATGTCCTTAGCCTTTGTATAACCCTATTTTACTGATGCAGCAACTGAGGTCAAAAGATGTTATCAATATCAAGTATGTATGTGTGCCTATAAATGAATGAATATCAAAATTTAGTCAAATTCTTTAAGGTATTTGCCAACTTGGAGGACCTCTTGGCTAGGAAAGCAAAAAGTCTGTTTTAGGCACTGCTCAAACTAGATTGCAAGATCGATCTATTTTTGAGCCCAACTTTGTGTCAACTTCAGCCTTAGGCAGGATGACAGAATTCTGATGGCAAGATGCTGTGATTCCCTGAAATCCTGAACCATAAGATCACTAGTCCTAGAGGAAGAAAGTCTCTTCTTACACCTCCTCTGGGAGTCAATGAAGCTTATGTTCACAGAAACCCCAGCAAGTTTCTGCAAATCTCTGTATCTCATTTTACACCCAGCCCTTCACAGTGGACAATGGGATAGGATATATTGATTAGCTTAATCTAATGAGGATCATTGACTAGAATCGGAGGTAAGATCAATTCAAGGGAACCATGTGGCGAAAATGCTGTTTTTTGTTCAGTCACTCAGTCGTGTCTGACTCTTTGTTACCCCATAGACTGCAACACACCAGGCTTCCCTGTCTTCACCATCTCCTGGAGCTTGTTCAAACTCATGTCCAATGAGTCAGTGATAGCATCCAACCATCTCATCCAAAAATGAGGAATAGGTAAACTCATGTAGGAAGGTAAGAATACTGTTGAAAATAAAGGGGGAGAACAGTTAGTGGAAAAACATTTAGCATAATGCTAGTAACTTGAACTTACTCCTTGGAAGGAAAGTTATGACCAACATAGACAGCATATTAAAAAGCAGAGACATTACTTTGCCAACAAAGGTCCATCCAATCAAGGCTATGGTTTTTCCAGTAGTCATGTATGGGTGTGAGGGGTGGGTCATAAAGAAAGCTGAGAGCTGAAGAATTGATGCTTTTGAACTGTGGTGTTGGAGAAGACTCTTGAGAGTCCTTTGGACTGCAAGGAGATCCAACCAGTCCATACTAAAGGAGATCAGTCCTGGGTGTTCATTGGAAGGACTGATGCTGAAACTCCAATACTTTGGCCACCTGATGCGAAGAGCTGACTCATTTGAAAAGACCCTGATGCTGGGAAAGATTTAGGATGGGAGAAGAAGTGGACAACAGAGGATGAGATGGTTGGATGGCATCACTGACTCAATGGACATGAGTTTGGTAAACTCGGGGAGTTGGTGATGGACAGGGAGGCCTGGCATGTTGCAGTCCATGGGGTCACAAAGAGTCAGACATGACTGAACGACCGATGAATTGAACTAGAGAAGGAAATGGCAACCCACTCCAGTACTCTTGCCTGGAGAATCCCATGGACAGAGGAGCCTGGCAGGCAACAGTCCATGGGGTTGCAAGAGGCGGACACAACTGAGTAACCAAACCACCACCACCAGTAACTTAAACAAAAAAGTGATAAATGGCTCAAACCCAATCTAGTATATAGATGAACAGACAGGTGGGACAGCTCTCAGAGACCCAGGCCAGTAAAGACTCTGCCAACTTCAACACGTGTTTCTCTGGCTGTTCCTGATTTTTTTTTTTTTTTTATCACAGCCTACCAAAAGGAGGAAAAACTTGGGAAAAGGCCATGAAAAGAGATTTCTTATTCTTTCCGTTGACATATAGCATAAAAAGTTACATTTATAAAGCAACATGAATTATCACCCATATAACCAGCATTTAGGTCAAAGAATATCTTCAAGAATCATCCTTTTTGTCTTCTCTTTATTACTACCTCTTCCCTCTGACCCAAAAGCAACCCCACTCTTGACTTCTAATGCCATAGATTAATTTTGCCTTGTTAATGGACTTTAGATCAGGGGAGAGCATTTATGGCCAGGCCTAAAGTGATGTTAGGTACTTCTGTTTGAACTCCATTAACTAGAAGGCAGTCACATGGAGATATTGTCCATTCAGATTGTGGTGAGCAGTTAGCTATGGGGGAAAGCCAGCAAACAGCCACTGCGGTCTTCCCGAGTGGCTTCTAATCACCACCCCCACCCTGAGACTATAGCACGATCAGGGTCCAGGGGCCAAACGGTAAGAACACATCATATTCCTTACAAAGTCAGGGACGAGATGTCTGTAAGTATTGTTTTGATACTTTTGTCCCTATTAAAAGCTGAGTTTAAGTAAATCCAAGCAGAATCAAGATTATCTCAATATCACTCTCATACATTTTTTAAGAGAAAGATAGAGAGAAAAGGAGAAGGGTTTGAACGCCAGCTAATCTGCCCTGAATCATCCAGTAGTACTAGCCACATACGTGACTCTCATTGCTGATGGGTATCTAGTCAGGAGACGCAGGATATGGACTATTTCCTGAGCAATTTCATTGACAGTCTTGGCCGAACTTCTCTTGCCAGTGTTATGTTCACCTTACCGCTGTGTGTGTGTGTGTGTGTGTGTGCACGCGCGCGCGCGTGTTTAGTTGCTCAGTTGTGTCTGACTCTTTGTGACCCCGTGGACTGTAGCCTGCCAGGCTCCTCAGTCCATGGGGATTCTCCAGGCAAGAACACTGGAGTAGGCTGCCATTTCCTTCTCCGTTTACAGCTGTAATGGACTGAATTTTGTTCCCCTCAGATTTGTAAGTTGAAATCCTCACTCCCAATGTTACTGTATTTGGAAATAGGACCTTTAAAGAAGTAATCAAGATGAAATGAGGTTGCAAAAGGCTGAGGCCCTAATCCAAAAGCTCTGTTCTTAAAAGAAGAGGAAGAGATACCAGAGTATGCAGGCACAGAAGAAAGGCCACGTGAGGACTCTGCAGGCAGGTGGCTTCCTGCAAGCCAGAAAGGCCTTGCCAAAAACCAAGCCTGGCAGCACCTTGATCTTGAATTTCCAGGCTCCAGCACTGTGAGAAAATCAATGTCTGTTGATTTAGCCATACTCAATCTGTGGTTGCCAGTTTCTGTAGCCCAACATACTAACATAACAGTTCTCTGGCAAGATAAGTACAGTTACCGTTTCTTTTTACTTTTCTTTAAAGATTTTTTGCTGTGGAACATTTTTAAAGTTTTTACTGAATTTGTTACACTATTACTTATGTTTTGATTTTTTGGCCAAGAGGCATGTGGGATCTTAGCTCCCCGAGATCAGGAATCCAACCTGATTCCCTGCATTGGAAGGCGAAGTCTTAACTTCTGGGCTCTCGGGGAAGTCCCAAGATGATATATTTCTTGTGCAGGATTTTTAATTTGAGGAGCCAATGGTTAGGTGTATCCAATGAGCGCTGCATATAAGAGTTTAGAATTCGGGACAAGGTTCATGCGGTATATGGGAGCCTGTATTAGAAGAAACAACATAAGATTGTAGTTAAGGGAATTTCCTGGCAGTCCAGTGGTTAGGACTCTGCACTTTCACTAATGTGGGGCCCAGGTTCAATCCCTGGTTAGGGAACCCAGATTCCTCAAGCCTCACAGCCAGAAGAAAAATAAATTATATATATATATAAAAAGATTGTTGTTAAGAGCTCTTATTATTCTCCGTGACAGCCTACGTTTCCCTTTCGTAACAAGCCCAAAGATCCTTCTGTTTCATTCATTCACCAGGTAGTAGTGATTTGCTGCCACAGGGCAGTGGGGCAGATGCCCTTTTCTCACGGAGCCAGACCGCCTGGGTTTGAAACCCTGCTCCACACCTTACTAACTGGGTGACCTTGGGTGATTTACTTAGCTTCTCTCTGGGCCTCAGTTCTCATATCTGTGAAAGGAGAGACCAATAGGACTAAAAGGGTTATGAGTATTGCATGAGTTAATAATAATAAACAGTAATAAAACCACTTAGATCATCTTCTGGCCTGTTGCAAATGCTCTGTATGTATTTGTTATTATTATAATCATCCTTTAGGTCAGAAATGTAGAGAAGCTTGCCAAGAGAGAGTGTACAGAATAATGAGATTTAGTGTTATGTGGCAGCCTGGGTAGGAAAAGGAGTTTGGGGGTGAATGGATACGTGTGTGTGTGTGTGTGACTGAGTCCCTTTGCTGTTCACCTGAAACTGGCATAACGTTGTTAATTGGCTGTACCTCCAATACAAAATAAAAAGTTAAAAAAAGAATAAGGAGATTGAGGATTAAGCACCCTAGACACTAGGGAATGTGACTCTCTAAGGGTTTATTTAAACAGATGTTCAGTGAATACTTGCTCGCCTTGCTTCTTCTTTATTCACAGTACTTGTCTAGCATTGAAGGATTGTTTTCATTTTCATATTAGTCCATTGTAAAGGGAGAGATGCTTGAGAATATCAAGTGTCTTGTATTTATTTTCTGTAGTCATTTAAATAGTTCTCTTCCCTGTCTCTCCTCCATACACACCCACTGTGCTTTTATCTGCTTTTTTTTTTTTTCAGCCTTCCAACATATTCTTTACAATGGATGATGTGGTCAAGGTTGGAGATTTTGGATTGGTGACGGCAATGGACCAAGATGAGGAAGATCAGATGGTTCTGACCCCAATGCCAGGTTACGCCAGGCACACAGGACAAGTCGGGACCAAGCTGTATATGAGCCCAGAACAGGTGAGCTGTTCCTTTTCCTTCTGAGAAATAACTAGATTTTTGTTAAAATTGTTTTTTTAAGTATGCTCTGTCTTTTTTGGGGGGGGGGGGGGCATGAAGTCTGGCAGGATCTTAGTTCCCTGACGGTAGATCGAACCCATATTTTGGAAGCACAGTCTTAACCACTGGACCACCAGGGAAGTCCCTAAATAATTTATTAATTAGGATGGCAGCAAGCTAGATGTTTCCCTGTGAATCTTCATCTGTGCTCCATTTAAAATACCCAATAAAATAAAAATCTGAAAATGATGAAAACTGACAGTAGTGTTCCACAGGCAACACAGCTAGGGTGCAGTTCCTGCAACCTGGATTGGAGGTGGATAAAGAAAAGTACTCACAATGCATGAAATGTGCTTGCCCTTTGAACCAGAACCTGACAACAGCCAGAAATTTAACGTTTATTTATTTTTGGCTCTGCTGGGTCTTCATTGCCACCCGGGCTTTTCTCTCGTTGTGGCAAGCAGGGGCTGCTCTTTGTTGCGGTGCACAGGCTTCTCATTGTGGTGGCTTCTCTTATTGCCGAGCGCAGGCTCTAGGCAGCGGGCTTCAGTAGTTGCAGCTCCCAGGCTCTAGATCACTGGCTCAGTAGTTGTGGCCCACGGGCTTAGTTGCTCTGCGGCAGGTGGGATCCTCCCAGACCAGGGATCGAACCTGTGTCTGTTACATTGGCAGGCAGACTTTTTACCACCGGACCACCAAGGAAGTCCCAGAAATTTAGAGGAGACTTTGAATGTCCTCCTCCCAAACCTAACTCTCATTTCCCCTTATGTGAACTAGGTAGGAACTGTTTTCAGAGACAGTTGGAGGTAGTTTAGCAAACTGCCCTCTGGGTTAATCCACAGGCACAGCAGGAAACAGAGGTGGACAGGCTGAGCTGTGTTGCCTTGTGGGAAAAACTCGGCAAATGGAACGGAGACCGGAAGTGCTGGGAGCAGGGCATCCTAGGAGATTCAGTGTAGCATCCCCAGCACTGATGATATTCACAAGCTTATAGATGCTTAGATGAGTGGTTCTCAGACTTTTTAACCAGTGCCTGTTTATATTAAAATATGATTGAGAGCTTAATAATTTTTCTTGTGAGATTATATCTATCAATATTTGCCATATTAGAGATGAAAGCAGAAATTTATAAAATTTTAGTAATTCAATTAAAAATAGCTGTCTTAAATCTATCCCATCTTCAAGATACTTTCTGAAAAATAAATATTTTTCCAAAGAAAACTAGTGAGAATAATGGTATTTATTTCCATTTTTATAAAGCTCTTTACTATCTGACTTAAAAGGATTAGATTTCATATCTGCTTTTGCATTTAATCCCTTGAACTATGTTATTTTGGTTCAAGTATATTAAGCAAATCTGACTTTAAACAGATATGCAGTGGGGAAGGGAGGAACATTTTAATACCATTTTCAGGTAGTTGTGGGCATGACCAAAACTCAATAAGCAAAAGTTTCTGAAGTTTCTGAAGAATCATTTGCCCTCTGGAATCTAAAACCATAGCAGTGGACATTCTGTATTCTGTTACTGTAGCATCCATTTCACACTTTGAATGGACCTCTTTTCCATGCCTGAGTTTTTAAAGTTGTGCATTGGTCATTTGGAAATTATTGGTTCTCTACATTATGTGTCTTTCCAAAAATTGTCACAATTCATTATTGTTGTTGTTCAGTCGCTAAGTTGTGTCCAGCTCTTTGCAATGCCATGGACTGCAGCCACCAGGCTTCCCTGTCCTTCACCATCCCCCAGAGTTTGCTCAAATTCATGTCCATTGAGTCGGTGATGCCATCCAACCATCTCATCCTCTGTTGCCCCCTTCTCCTATTCCTCTCAATCTCATTATATAATATTTAAAAAAATCATCAATATTTTAATATCACCAACAAAGCTCACCAGAAAGAGCTTTTAAGTATTAAAAAAGCTGTCAGGTTCCCAGTGATGGACACAAATTTTCCAGAATTCTGAAGTTCACTTCAAAGTTCAACTTTTATCTTTGGCAACAGCTGTCAGTTTTCCTTGAAGTGCCATTCTCACTTCATTCATCTTTAAGAAAATACTGTCCATTATCCAAGTCTGAATAACCACAGTTGTTCTACCAGTTTTTCTTTCAAGTCAAAGTGGTGCTCGATGAGAAGAGCTCAATTAGATGTTCATATAGGAACTCAAACAATTACATAAATGCTTTCTCTTGAGACAGTATTTTACTTCAGTATGGAGCAGAACTGCTTTATGAACACTGCTCATTTTGTCACACAGAATATTAAAAAGATGTGGCCTAAGGGGCAAGACATGATAAAATTAATCAGTTTCACTGCTTCAGCAAGGATATTTTAAGTGAAGCTGTCTTTCTCTCTTACTTCCACTTTCTTTTTCTCTTTTCTTTCTTGCTTTCTCTTTCTTTCCCTCTTTCTCTTTCTTTCTCTTACTGTTGCTTTCTCTCTCGCTTTCTTGCTTTCTTTTTCCTTTTCTCTTTCTCTTTCTGTCTCTCTTCCTTTCTCTTTCTCTTTCTCCTTTTCTCTCTTTCTCTTTCTCTCTTTGTATCTCTTACTTTCACTTTGTCTCTTTTTTCTGTTTCTCTCTCTTGCTTTTTCTTTCTCTCTCTTTCTTGCTTTCTTCTTTTCTCTTTCTCTCTTGCTTTCTTTTTTCTCCCACCCTACTCCCCCAGTATATAAACTGAAGAACATAATTACTACTAGTATGCTTTGGTGCCACTGCCTTAATTCGTGCTAAGATTCAGCAGAGCAAATGTCAACATAGTGAAAAGACAAATCATGTCTTAGAATTATTGTGAAAATAGTCTTGACTTTGTAGACTTCCTGAAAGGATGTTGGGATCCCCAGGGATCCATAGATCACACTTTCAATGGATTGATTATCTTTGGAAGGTTTTATCAGAGACCAGTCATAGGAATTGGCTTTTATTTTACTGTTGTACAGTATCCTTCTAGACTGCCTGAGCTGTTTGCATTACTCAAGTGTATTCTTTTTCATGCTTAATATTTTCATTTTTTAATTTAATTAGGTTTTTTTTTATATAGTCCTATACTTAGACATCTTGAATTTCAAGATAAAGGAAAAATAGTATTAAAGTATTTAGGTAGGGAAAAAACCAGGTTACAGCTTAAAGAGTTTGTTTTCTGTAACACTCAACCCTAGAAGACAATAAACCAATAAGTACAGTTTTGATGAAAAATAGCTATGGCCTGCAAATCATGTTTCTGGAAAAAGTCATTTGTGTAAAAGAAAATAGGAATTTTTAGGTAAATAAGATTAAAAAAAAAAATCATGGGGCATTGGTTGGTGGTCCAGCGGTTAGGACTCCATCTTTTCACTTTTGGGTGCCCGTGTTTGATCCCTGGTTGGGGAACTGAGATTCTGCATGCCTCATGCTGTAGCCAAAAAATTTAAAAACTAAATAAATAAATAAAAAGAAATATTGATGTGAGTATTCTCAAAGTTCCGGCCCTCCTTGGCCTTTGTCAAGTGTCAAGTTATGTGCCTAGCTTCATTTTCCCAAATGAAAGGCTTCCTCTGAGTCCTAGGAGGTCACTTTTAATTTGAATGAGACTTTTTAAGAGTCTGTTGGGTTGTAATTCGTTTGTTCCTTTTAGCAAATAAATTTTTGTTGAAGGCCTTCTCTGTACTTAGCTCAGTTCTGGATGGTAGGAATACAAAAGAAGCAGCTCCCTTCCCTCCAGGTCTTTATAATTTAGTTGTGAAGAGTAAGAAATAACACACACGAAAAATACAACCGAGAATGCAGAGAAGTCCATAATTAAGTGCTGTAATGAGGGCTAACCACAGTTGATGAGTGGTTTGGAAGATTTTCTCATAAAAATAGGTGAGGACTAAGATAGTCAGAAGTGAGAGATTTGCTTTAGATAGTGCCGGCTTTGAAAAACTTCACCTCAGGGGTAGGGGGGCAGCTTTTCCTGGCTCCTGGCTTCCGCTGGGCCTATTTTACTGATGCATATCTCAGAGCTATACCTGGGCTTCCTTCTGTGATGCTGAGTAGTTTAATTACTCTTGCTGTGGGTGACTTGAAGAAAAGGGGCTTCAGAGATGATTAACTCTTTGCTGACATTTTTACCTGCAGGATTACGTTTAAACCAAGTAGGGACTAAGTGTTGGGATTCACTCATGCTGTATGATCATCTGTGATACTGTCTCTGTGACTGTTCTCCTAATCCTCTTTATTTGGGATTGCAGATTCATGGCAGCAGCTACTCTCATAAAGTGGACATCTTTTCTTTGGGCCTCATTCTGTTTGAATTACTGTACCCGTTCGGCACTCAGATGGAAAGGGTCAGGGTAAGTTCTTCCCCTCCTCTCCAAAAAGGCAGAAGAAAATACTCTTAAAAAAAAAAAAAAAGAAAGAAAGAAAATACTCTTCAATTTACAAAAGAATGAGTTGTAAAAGAAAAATAAGTTATTCTTAATACCAGCAACTTTGTTGACTGCAAGTAGAAGAGAAAGAATTTGTAGGCTCTTTGCTTCCATTTAAAGCTCAGCCTTCAAAAATGGTTGAGGTGAATTGTCTGTTGCTTGCTGTTGCTTAACTTCATCATAACTTAACCATATTTTGCACTTAAATTTGTCATAAGGGCAAAGCTAGGGAAACCACAAGGTGGGGCGACGGTCGTGGTCAGAGAATTTTCCAGAGAACAAATGGCCACACAGTCATATGCTTAAAAGCTGAAAACCTAAGCATAGTTAAGTTTTCTTTCCCCTCTCAAAATAAACCATGACTGTTGCCTTTAAGGAGTATAGTAGTGAAAGTCTTAAAAGCAGTGTCTAGAATATGTAAAGAACGACTACAGTTCAACAACAAAATGTTAAAAAATGGGCAAAGGACTTGAATAGATGTTTCTCTGAAGATTACAGATGGCCAATAAGTACAGCATCACTATTCATCAGGGAAATGTGAATTAAAATCACGGTGAGATACCTCTTCACACCATCCAGAATAGCTCTAATAGAATAAAACAAAAGCAGAAAATAAGTGTTGGCAAGGATATGGAGATATTAGTGCTCTCATGCATTGCTGGTAGGAATGTAAAGTGGTACATTCTACTGTGTAAGACAGTTTGACATGCCCTCAAAAAGGTAAACATGGAATGACCATGCTCTTCTCCTAGGTTCTACTCCTGTTTCTCCAAGAGAAATAAAAACATAGGTCCACACAGAAACCTGTGCACAAATGTTCATAGTAACATTTTCATAATGACTAGAAGGTAGGAGCAACCCAAATGTTAATCAGCTTGGATCCTGGCTTGGATCCCTTGTTTCCTAGATTTCATGTTTTGTTTTGTTTACATTACTCTCTTGTTTTGCTGGGGCACATTCTGCCATAAATTTCTCAGAAAGAATGTACGAGAGGAAAAATTTTAGGGTCCTCAGGTATCTGAAAATGTATTTTTTTTTCCCCATCCTTATACATAATTGATAAATTGACTAGGTTCTAGTTCTAGATTGAAAATAACTTTCCTTCAGAATCTTGAGGGTATTGCCCCATTCTCTTATAGCTTCCAATACTGCTGTTGAAAAGCTGATACCATTCTGATGCATCATTTTTTTTTATGTGGGGTATTTTGGACCCATTATATCTTCCTTTCTGAGGGCTTTAGGGACTTAGTTTTTATCAGTGCCATTATGAAATTTAGTCCACTCAGATCCTTAAAGATCTCTCCACCAGTCCTGCCCACCCCCCCACCCCAACTCCCCTGCTCACTTACTGTACTTAGCACTTGGTAGATTCTTTCAGTTAGAAGGGATTCATCCTTCAGTCTAGTAAGTTTCTCATATTTTTTTGGATAAATTCTCCTCCAACTTTTTTGTTTTTTCCTGGAACTCCTGACTTATTCCTAAAAATGTCTAATTTTTTTCCCTTCCATTTTCTATCATTGTCTTTTTGTACTATTTTTTGCAGAAGTTCCTTAACTTGTTCTTCTAACTTTCCTAATTCCTTTGACAATTCAGTTTTTACAATCTGAGATTGTTTCTTTTTTTGAAGTATTTGCACTCTTTTTGCATGAATTCATTCTCTTCATATTGCTGAGAATCTCAATTATATGTGTGTATGTATTCCCCCATACTGTCTCTTTCCTTTGTTTTTTTTTAAGCTTTCTATTTGAAATTATTATAGATGCACAGAAAGTTGCAAAGATAATACAAAGAGATACCCTCCATCCAATTTCTCCTAAGTGTTACATTTTACATAATTATAGTACAACATAAATTTGACATGGGTACTTTGTATTATGTATGGCTCCATGGTATTTTATCTCATGTATAGGTTTCTGTAACCAACACTGCAGCCTAGATACAGAAGTGTTCCATCCTTCTTGCTACCCCTTTATAGTCACACTTACTTTCTCCCTACTAATATCTCTGAGTTTTGTTATGATTTGTGTGTGTGTTTCACATGTTGACAATCCTGTCCATATTTAAGAATGGTGCTCTAAAATGGTAACTAGAAGTGGACATTAAAAAATAAACAAAAAAGGGAATTCCCTGGCAGTCCAGTGGTTAGGACTCAGAGCTTTCAACTGCTGTGGACCCCTATTCTATCCCTGGACAGGGATAAGATCCTGCAAGCCAGGCAACCAAAAAAAAAAAAAAAAACCAAAAACGAAAAACCCTGAAGTGGATATGACTGTTAAGTGTTATGATCCAGTTCTTTCTTTGGGGTGGCGATGGGGGAGAACACTCACATGTTAGCATCTCTTGGACTTTCCTCATTCTCTCCAGAGAAGAAGCTTCATTCTCCTGCCTGAGAAAGAACTGGGATGGATGGAGGGGTGGAGAGTGTCTTACTGTTGCAGATCTTCGCTTGTTCTGTTTTCCATGCCCACCCCTGACTCATCCTCATGCCTCTGTATTGGCCCTATGTTTGAAAAGCCTTGGTTCAGTTTCTTCAAATAACAAACCTATGTGTCCTGTGAAAAGTGAAAGCGTTAGTTGCTCAGTCCTGTCTGACTCTTTGCAATCCCATGGACTGTAGCCTGCCAGGCTCTGTCCATGGGATTCTCCAGGGAAGAATACTGGAGTGGTTACCCTTCTCTTCTCCAGAGGATCTTCCCAACTCAGGGATTGAATCTGGGTCTCCCGCATTGCAGGCAGATTCTTTACTGTTGGAGGCATTGGGGAAGCCCTTTGTGTCCTATGGGGGTATGTAATATCACTTCATTCACAGAACTTCCGACAGCTCTCCTAAAGCCATCTTCATCCCTCACCCCCACCTGCAGGTTCCACACAGCTAAGCAATTCCCCATCAGTTGGCCTTATCCCTTGTGGGCACCCTGGTTTAGCTTTCTCTGTTGACCTAAAGTAGTTACACTATGTTTCCATCTACTTTCTCTCTCTTTCCAAAGATGTGATCTTTTCTTCCATTGCACTCATTGTAAAGATTTAAAATGTTTTTCCTTTCTTTGCCGTTGCTTTAGTGAAAATGTTTCGAAATGTAGTAAAAAAAAAAAAAAAGAATCTGCCATGTTTACTCTTTTTTTCCCTTTTTTTAGTATTTATTTATTTGGTTGCACTGGATCTTAGTTGTAGCACAGAGGATCTCTGATCTTTTGTTGTGGCACGTGGGATCTCGTTCCCTGACAAGGGATTGAACCCAGGCCCCCTGCAGTGGGAGTGCAGAGTCCTAGCCACTGGACCATCAGGGAATTTCAGAAAATCTGCCTTGTTTAGGCAGAACCCCTCTGAAATTCTATTAGTGAATATAAAAGAGACTATTCAATGATTTGACCAAGATGGTTTTCAAGAAACTAATTTTATTGAGCTATAATTTACACACAGTACCATGTACCCACTTTGTATATTTTTATGAGATTTTGATACTTTTAAACCTTCATGTAATGACCACTACATTCAAAATACAGAATATTTCTATCATCCCCAAAAGTTGCCTTTTGTTCCTTCCCAGTCAGTCTCCTGTTCTTTCATCCCCCATCCTGATTCCAAGCAACCACTAATCTGTTTTGTCTTAGAAAGTTTCATATGAGTGGAATCATATATGTGTATACATTTTTGTGCCTGCCTTCTTTGACTCACCTTAAAGGTTTTAAGGTTCATTCATTACTCAGTGTATCAGCAGTTTCTCCTTTTTATTAAGTAATATTCCATGGTATATATACATAGTTCGTGTCCATTTACCTGTTGGAAACACCTACGAATAACGTGACTGTGGGACTCTCCTGGTGGTCCTCTGGTGGAAAATCTGCCTGCCAATGCAGGAAGCAGGGGTTCGATCCCTGGCCTGGGAAGATCCCACATGCCACAGAGCAACTGAAGCCTGTTTACTACAATTACTGAGCCTGCACTCTGGAGCCCGTGCTCCGCAACAAGAGAACCCACCACAATGAGAAGCCTGTGTGCTGCAGCCGGAGAAAGCCGCTGGGCAGCAAAGAGGACCCAGCGCAGCCATAATAAATAAAGTTGCTGTGAACATTTGTAAACTGGTCTCTTTGTAGACATACATCTGTTTTCATTAGTCTTGGGTAATGAGGAGGTAGGGTTGGTAAATTATGTGTAAGTGGTTTAACTGTATAAGAAAGTGCCATTTTATATTCTCACGCACAGTGTAGGCGAGTTCTGGGTCCTCGGCATCCTCATCAACACTTAGGTTTTTTAGTCTTTACATTTTTTGGGTATTCTGATAGGAGTACAATACAATCAGATTGTGGTTTCAGTTTGCATTTCTCTGATGACTAATGACCTTGATCATCTTTTCAAGTCCTTTGCCAAGTATATGTATTATTACTAATTTATTCCAGCCAGCGGCTTCCCATTTCATTTCCTTAATGATGTCTTTCAAAGGGCAGCAGGTTAAAAAAAAAAAAAGCATCTAATGGGATTAAAAATTCTGTGATTCAAGACTTAAGCATTTATCTGCACATTGTTTGGTATGACCTACCTATTAGCAGGTGAAACACTCCCTTCTATGGCCTGCGTCATAGATTCTTCTAGTGAAGTTTCTGTTTTCCTTTAGTGGGAAGTGACAAATGCCAACCCAGTTCATGTTTTTGTTTAAGTACATTTTATCTTATTTCTCAAGAAATATGAAGACATACTTGCTTTATTTCATTCCTCAAAACTGATTCATTATAAAAGGAGTATCAGGGACTTGCCTGGTGGCACAGTGGTAAAGAATCTGCCTGCCAATGCAGGGGACACGGGTTCAGTCCCTGGTCCAGGAAGATTCCATGTGCTGTGGGGCAGCTAAGTCCCTGAGCGACAACTCCTGAGCCTGTGCTCTAGAACCCGGGAGCCACAGCTACTAAGCCCACGTGCCATAGCTACTGAAACCCATGTGCCTAGAGCCTGTGTTCTGCAACAAGAGAAGCCACCACAATGAGAAACCCACACACCACAGCTAGAGAGTAGCCCCCACTCGCTGCAACTAGAGAAAGCCCAAGTGTAGCAACGAAGACCCAGAGCCACCAAAAAGAAAGAAGTAATAAAAATGTTTTAAAGGAGTTTAAGGCACTGTGCCAAATAGTTTGCCTCAGTTACCTTATTTAAGTCTCAAAGCAGTCATACAAAGTAGACACTGTTATCCTGTTTGTATGAAAATTTCCCAAAAAGCTAGTTTATTGTTTATATTCAGAATTTAGCACAATTGACTTAGTTTTCTTCACTTAAAAAGAACACTATGTCCTTTTATATCAAATAAAGTGATTAGTGACTAGTACAAAAAGTTACCCACTTAAGAACACAAATGTGTGTTCATGAATGATTGAACTATTTTTGATGCAGATCAGTCCATTTTCAGTTAAAATCCAGATGTCAGGATCATGTAGAGTTCTAATATATGTAAATTATTTGGTGATTTGGTGGCAGGTAAATCTGTGCCCAGGGAGCACTGATGTATAGATTATCAAGTCAAGAAAAGCTATTGATAAATTTTCCATCTGCTTAATGGTCAGCCTTGCTTACAGTATCAAAAAATATCTCTGTTTAAATAGATCCACATATCAAAATAGATTTAAAGATAAGTAACACTTTTCTTTCTTTTCAGATCCTAACTGATGTAAGAGATCTCAAATTTCCACCACTATTTACTCAAAAATATCCTCGTGAGGTTGGTATAATTCTCATCTTTTATTTTCTTTAAAATCTTACTTAGGACGTGAAGTCAGCAGCCAGCTCATCAGTTTCCACGTTTTACAGATGAGGAGGCCTAAGGTCTAAAGAGGAAAGTGACCTGATCCCAACAACATGCAACTTCTTAAAACCAAAGGCTAGGGAATTCCCTGGTTAAGAATGTGACCTTCCACTGCAGGGGTGTGAGTTTAGTCCCTGTTCTGGCAGCTAGGAGTCTGCTCCATGCTGCATGACAGCCCATCCGGGGATTGTAGCAACCTCGCTTTTCAGTAGGGCTTCCCAAGTAGCTCAGTGGTAAAGAACCTGCCTGCCAATGCAGAAGATGCAAGAGACGCAGGTTCGATCATGGCAACCCACTCCAATATTCTTATCTGGAAAACTCCACGGACAGAGGAGCCTGGCAGGCTGTAGTCCATGGGGTCACAAAGAGTCCGACACGACTTTCAGTAAGGCTGAACGTAAAGAGCTCACCCTCGTAGGAATCAAGTTGCCATTATAATCAGGCCATTAATTTCTTTCTCTTAGCGAATTTGACACAGATCTTAAAAACCAGCTTCTTAAAAAAAAGTCACTAATTTCTAATGATTTTGTGTGTTGAAATTATACCCCTCAGAGAAACAGTAAATGATTCAGAATAGTGGGAAGGGAAAATTAAAATGGTCTTGATGGTGAAAACTGTGTGTAATGAACTTTTGAAGTTTCTTTTTGCAGTTTTTGTTTATTTATGTTATGTCCACAAACACATCGCTTTAAAATTTATACTTGAATTTTCTTAGTAAATTCAGTTGAAGTAAATTAAAATTTGTGGCTGATTATCAAATTGGAAAAAGTCTAATTGATCTTTCAGTATTTTAAGTATATTGAAGGATTGCATTAAAAATGAACTTTATAGCAATATAGAGATATGCTAACTTAAAGTGAAGTTTATTTTACTAAAAATTAGTTTGTTGTGTATTTTGAAAAGTGGTGAATCAGTTCCTGGGGGACTCACAAGAATCTGTGTTATACTAAAGTGGTTCGAAAAAAATCAGGGGAAGGGGCTAGGTACTGACCCCGGCATGATTTATTTTTCTTTTTATTTGTTGGGGTATAATTGCTTTAAAGTGTTGTGTTAGTCTCCACTGTACAATGAAGTGAATCAGCTACACATTTACATATATCCTCTCCCTCTTGTATCTTCCTCTATATGCCCCCTTATCCCACCCAGCTAAGTCATCACACAGCACTGAGCTGAGCTCCCTGTGCTATAAAGCAGCTTCCCACTAGCTGTCTCTTTTACACGTGGTAGTGTATGTACATCAACGCTACTCTCCCAGTTCATCCCATCCTCCCCGTCCCTCTGTGTCCACATGTCCATTGTCTGTGTCTCTATTTGGTATGGTTATTTTTTAATTGAAATCTTTATTGAAGTAATTGTACATTCACATGCAGTTGTAAGATAAATTTATTTTAAAGGTCAGATTGTGTTTCAGAGATGTGATTTAGGGCCCTTTATATTAGGAAACAACCAATTAACCTGAAATAGTCCAGGTATATTTGGAGCAAGACTTGGCCAAACTATGACCCATAAGCCAAATCCAGCCTGCTACCTGTTTTAGTAATGAAGTTTCATGGGAACACAGGCAGGCCCACCTGTTTACGTACAGTCTGTGGCTGCTTTTGTATTTCAGTAGCACAGTTGAAAAGTTGCTCACACACAGATATAGAGAACAAACATATGGACAAGGGAGGGTGAGGTGAGATGGGTGGGATGGGGTGGGAGACTGGGATTGACGTACATACCCTGTTGACACCATGTATAAAATAGATGACCAGTGAGAACCTTCTGTATAGCAAAGGGAACTCCACTCAGTGCTCTGTGATGAGCTAAATGGGAAGGAAATCCAAAAAAAGGGGGATATATGTGTACCTATAACTGATTCCCTATGGAATCAAGTGGCTCAGATGGTAAAGAATCTGCCTGCAATGCCAGAAACCCAGGTTCGACAACATTGCAGAGCAATATACTCCAATAAAAATTAATTTAGAAAAAAAGAGAAACTGGCATACCAACTTAACATAGTTACAGAAACGTAATATTTGGTGGACTCCTGATTTAGGCAGTGGTTCAGTGGCCCCTTGATCACAAAACAATTTTTATCTTTCAGTATGCCATGGTGCAAGACATGCTGTCCCCATCTCCTACTGAACGGCCAGAAGCTGCGAGCATCATTGAAAACGCGATCTTCGAGGACTTGGAGTTTCCAGGAAAGACGGTCCTCAGACAGAGGTCTCGATCCATGAGCTCATCTGGGGCGAAACATTCAAGACACTCCAGCAGCCCCCACAGCCCTTTGCCCAGCAATTAGCCTTATGTTCCGTTCGCGCCCCTAACAGGTGACAACGGAATAGCCTGCTTCAAAGGAATATTGCTTTTCCAAAATCGCAAACTTGAAAATATGGTTCTCCACTTGATTTTGTTTTAGGCTGCCTTTTCTAAATCAGATTTTAAACTGGATTTTGGAGCGCACACCTCATTTGAGCCAACTTTTGATTTTTGCTCCAGTCAAGGGGAGGGCTGTCACATGCGGTCTTTCCTTCGCTGGTCTGTCACATGCTGGTCTGTTGAAACTGGCTGGCCAAGCATTCTGCCCTCACGTTTTGCCTAGGGAGGTAGAAGCATTCCCTAAAATGTATAGAGAGAATTATAAAATGGAAATATTTTTATAGTATAGAAAATGAAAGTCCCTACATGGTGGTAACCATATTGTTCTAGAAAGACGCTTTCTAGAGAGATCATGGGGATTTTGAAACTGATTTCAAAACAAAGCTGACTCCATTTTTGTCCCTGGTGGGTGAATTAGGAAGCTGCATTATTTTGGAGGACAAGTAGCACAAATTATATAGCTAGTTTTCTAGGGTCATTTGTAGCATTAAATAGCTTTATTCCTCAGATAGTTCTAGAACTAGAGAGAAAAATTTTTAAGAGCTTTTTGTACTTTTACCTCCAATAAAGGAAAAATGAAGCTTTTTGTGTAAGTTGGTCAAAAATTCTGGCTTGGAGAAGGAAAAAAAGCCGTAGTAAGAAACAAATCATATATCACAGCTAACTGCTTCAATTACGGACTTCTTAAACCTAATGAAATCTTACATGTCTTAAATGTAATACTGTAGGTTGATACTGTCTCAGAACTGATTGTAGATAACAGTCTAATCATCTAACTTGCTAACATGTTTTTATTTTTCACTGTAAATAGGTTTATTTTTTATTTATAAAAATTCTGAACTCAATCCATTTGGGTTGGTGGTGTACAGAACACACTTAAAAGTGTGTTAACTATTGTGACTTCTTTCAAGTCTAAATGGTTTAATAAAACTTTTAGAAATGATTTATGGTTGATTCTTATTTGAGGGAACTGGCTCCGAAATGGAATTTTTCAGACTTTAAAATGGGATCATAGGTCTCAAAAGAGTCATAACCCTACTCTCAAGAAAACTTACTCCTTATAGATAATCTTATTTACAAAGCAGAAATAGAGATACAAATGTAGAGAACAAACATAAGGACATCAAGGACCAGGGGATGAAATGGGAGATTGGACTTGACACATCCATACTATTGATACTGTGTATAAAATAGATAATTAATGAGAACCTACTGTATAGCACAGGGCTTTCAGGTAGCTCTGTGGTAACGAATCTGCCTGACAATGCAGCAGTCACAAGAGACAAAGGTTCAGAAACCTGGGTTGGGAAGCTCCCCTGGAGTAGGAAATGGCAACATGCTCCAGTCTTGCCTGGAAAATTCCATGGACAGAGGAGCCTGGTGGATTACAGCCCATGGGGTCGCAAAGAGTTAGACACGACTGAACACACACACACACACAAACACACACACTGCATAGCACAAGCAACTCTATTATTCAGTGCTCTGTGGTGACCTAAACGGAAAGGAAACCCAAAAAAGGGGATACATGTGTATGTATAACTGATTCACTTTGCTATACCACAGAAACTAACAACAACATTTCAAGCAACTATACTCCAATAGAAATTAATTTTAAAAAATAGAAAACTTATTCCTAACCTGTTCTAATGGACATGAGTTTGGGTAAACTCCGGGAGTTGGTGATGAACAGGGAGGTCTGGCGTGCTGCGGGTTCATGGTGTTGCAAAGAGTTGGACACTGAGCAACTGAACTGAACCTGTTCTAAACAGGCATCTTCTCGTCCTCTCCCAAAGAGTTGACAGGATCAAGTCCTTTTCAAAATTCACTGGAGTCATAATCCAAACACATTAGCTCAGTTTCTACTCTGTGTCAGAGACATAAAGACCATCCTACCCCAAAGGGAGGCTGCCTAGAGCAAAGGCTACGTATGGCAAAGCCAGTTGTGTTGGGATCACGGTGTGTCTGATGGAGGCATGTGGCGTGCAGAGCTGCCAGGCACAAACTCGCCAGGCCCAACCTCCAAGGGTCAACTGCATGATTATTTCCATCTTACAGACACGTTATGTCTGCCCCATAGAGTCTGGGCAGTTTGTAAGCTAAGGGCACACGTCACAGATCCTTGTGTGTTCTTCCCAGATTCTCACTGCTCAATGAGGCTCCAACTCCTCTTTCTTCCCTGTTCTGCTTGGCTCCTAGCCAGTTCAACTCTTTTTTTTTTTTTCTTCCTCTCTTAGCCTGCTTCAGTTACTGTTTTCCCCTTCACCCCAGCGAGGGATCTTGTTGATTTCTTCCCAGTTTGCCTGCTCAGTTCCAGCTGCAGACGCTTTGACCCTCACGACCACCCTGAGAACTAGCTATTTAGGGATTTCCCTGGTGCTCCAGTAACTAGGACTCCAAGCTCCCAATGCAGAAGGCCCAGGTTCGATCCCTGGTCAGGGAGCTGCAGATTCTACATGGTATAACTAAAGATTCCACATGCAGCAACTGAAAGAAAAAAAAAAAAAAAAGATCTCGCTTGCTGAGGCTGGGACCTGGTGCAGTCAAATAAATAAAAATATATAGTAAAATAATAATAAAAGTTATAAAAACACTATGACAGATGTTATTATTACCATTCTTATTGTAAAACTCAGGTCCAGAAAGATGCTGTGATTTGCCCCTTGATAACAGCCAATCAGAGCAGAACTAGGACCAAATCCCAGGAATTCCAATCCCTAGTTAAGGTTTTTGTCTGCTGCCTCATACCAAGCTGTCTGAAGGATTTGCACATATCTAACCTGGGCTGGGAGGGATTGTGGGCAGGAGGAGAAGGGGATGACAGAGGATGAGATGGTTGGATGGCATCACCAACTCAATGGACGTGGGTTTGAGTAAGCTCCGGGAGTTGGTGATGGACAGGGAGGCCCAGCGTGCTGCAATTCATGGGTTCGCAAAGAGTCGGACACGACTGAGTGACTGAACTGAACTGAACCTGGGCTTCCCTGGTGGCTCAGATGGTAAAGAATTCACCTGCAATGCAGGAGACCCAGGTTTGATCCCTAGGTCTGGAAGATCCCTGGAGAAGAGAATGGCTACTCACTTCAGTATTCCTGCCTGGGAAATCCCATGGACAGAGCAGCCTAGTGGGCTACAGTCCATGGGGTCATAAAGAGTTGGACATGATTAAGAGACGAACACTCACTTTCACGTGGGGTCTGTGATCTTTGTTGCGACACATGCAAATCTAGTTCCCTGACCAGGGATGGAACTCTGGCCCCCTGCATTAGGATTTCAGAGTCTCAGCTACTGGACCAGCAGGGAAGCAAGCCCCACTTCTTTCATTTTAATTCTGCCTGTGCCTCTGCTGGCTACCAGTAGGAAAGCAGTGTTGGAAGCTCAGGGGCTGAGCCACAGAACCTGACAACTCCTCAGGGGTCACCAGAATAGAGTCTCCTGCATTTTCTCCCAGAGCTCTTTTTCTGGACTCCAAACCTTGCCTCCTCCTACTTCAAGTTATTGCTTTTCTGACATCTTTCCAAGCCCCCTCCCTCCAGATTTGCCCCCACAGAATGCAGTTGACCCAGTAAGTGGTACAAATCAATCTCCTTAATAGCTGAGATCCCAGAAGGTACAGGTACCCCTTCTTGAAATCCCATCAGCATCCAGCATAAGGTGCATATTTGTCAAACTGGATTTGGAGAACATAACATGTAACTGACATAGCTGCAGCCCTCAGGAAATAGCCAAATGAGGAGGAAAAGAAATGTACCAGTCATGGCAATAAATAACTATTTGCAAAATGAAGGAGAAAAGATGGTTCAACAATCTTAATGCTAAAAACAGATTAAAAAAAAAAAAAAACCCTCAAATCCTAGAAGTTTTCTAAAGGAACAAGATCTTAAGGTTTAATTTAAATGAGAGGAAAAGTGGACTGGGACACTGAGCATTCATTTGGCTCTGCCTGATGCTGTTGCTTTAGCCTACTACTTTCTCCATTTTTCACTGAAGTGGGTTACATCCCCCACCCCTAAAGGGGAGGGGTCCCATGGGGAAGCCACACAGCTTATAGACTCTGTGCTGGGAGAAAGCACATGCACACAGCTTGTTTTCCAGTCAGGAAAGCAATACCTTGGCAGCAAGTACTGGTCCAGAGATCAGGAAGACTGTGAGAAATTCTGAAAATGAGCTACCTAGCCTGCCCTTTGTCTCCTAGAAGAACAGAAAAGCGGACACTTAGGATGTTCCAGACAGTTTTCTTTTTCCAGATTGTTTCTCACTGATACTTTCCTATGGATGCATTTACACCAAAAGTGATTGTATTTCTCCAAGGAAATGGAGACAACAAGCTTCCAGTGTAACCACAGGTCATGGAGTGACTCAGTCTTACTCCTGGAATAAGTCAAGGGCAAAGCAGGAACTCTGGATGTTTTCTGGATCACTTCCAAGGGGTGTTTGCTCTTTCCAGAACTAGATTTGTAAGGCACTTTGCTTAAGGAACAGTGGAAACAGTGTCAGACTTTATTTTGGGGGGCTTCAAAATCACTGCAGATGGTGATTGCAGCCATGAAATTAAAAGATGCCTACTCCTTGGAAGGAAAGTTATGACCAACCTAGATAGCATATTAAAGAGCAGAGACATTACTTTGCCAACGAAGGTCCATCTAGTCAAGGCTATGGTTTTTCCAGTGGTCATGTTTGGATGTGAGAGTTGGACTGTGTAGAAAGCTGAGCACCGAAGAATTGATGCTTTTGAACTATGGTGTTGGAGAAGACTCTTGAGTGTAACTTGGACTGCAAGGAGATCCAAACAGTCCATCCTAAAGGAGATCAGTCCTGGGTGTTCACTGGAAGGACTGATGCTGAAGCTGAAACTCCAATACTTTGGCCACCTCATGTGAAGTGTTGACTCATTGGAAAAGACTGATGCTGGGAGGGGTTGGGGGCAGGAGGAGAAGGGGATGACAGAGGATGAGATGGCTGAATGGCATCACCGACTTGATGGACATGAGTTTGGGTAAATTCTGGGAGTTGGTGATGGACAGGGAGGCCTGGCGTGCTGCGATTAGCGCACAGAGGCAGACACGACTGAGCGACTGAACTGAACTTGTTAAGGAGACTTCCTCCTCCAGATTCTAGTCCTGCAACTACCGTAACTGCCACCAGGGGGCTCATGTTCGCCTTTTCTCCCAAGAAGTTTGGAAGTAAATACGGACCTTTCAGGGGCTTCCCTTGTAACTCAGCTGGTAAAGAATCCACCTGCAGTGTGGGAGACCTGGGTTTGATACCTGGGTTGGGGAGATCCCCTGAAGGGAAAGGCTACCCACTCCAGTATTCTGGCCTGGAGTATTCCATGGACAGTCCATGGGGTCACAAAGAGTCAGATACAACTGAGCAACTTTCATTTCACTTCCACAGACCTTTCAAACAGGATCTTTGGACAGTATAGTGATGCGAAAGTGATATACATTCAGTAGAAACTGTACTTTGACTTTAAAATTTTGATCTCTTCCTGGGCTAGTGCTACACTATGTGACATATTCTCTAGTGATGCTGGGAATTCAGCCACACATTTAGGAAGAGAAACAACCAGTACACTTAAAATCATTCTGCACCCAGACAGACTGTTTTTCACTTTCAGTACTATATTAAAAAAAAATGAGGACTTCCCTGGTAGTTCAGTGGATAGGACCCCACCTGCCAAAGCAGCAGAACAGGTTCAATTCCCAGTCTGGGAAGATTCCACATGCCACAGAGCTGCTAAGCCTGTGAGCCACAACGACTGAGCCCGCACTCTAGAGCTCCAGCGGCACAACTACCGAGCCCGTGTGCTGCAACTGCTGAAGTTCGTGCACCTAGCCTGTGCTCTGCGACAAGAGAAGCCGCTGCAATGGGAAGCGTGCGTGCACACCACAACTAGAGAGGAGTACCCGCTTACCACAACTAGGAAAGCCTGCCACAGCGA